AAAAAATTTTTTTTTCCTTTATTTTTATTAGTTGGAGGCTAATTACTTTACAATATTGTAGTGGTTTTTGCCATACAGTGACATGAATCAGCCATGGATTTACATGTGTTCCCCATCCTGAACCCCCCCCCCCACCTCCCTCAAAAATGTTAACTTATTCGTCTGAGGGCAATTCCTCCTTAGTTTATGTGCTTGTTCACTTCAAGACTAAAGGTTCTGCAGTTTGTTTTCAGAGCGGTTTTGCATTTTGCTTTCTTTTTTTTTAACGGGCGGGGCCGGAATGTCCTGTCTTTGTTGCACGACTAATAAGCAAAGGAATATGTGTCCAATGTCCTTTCCTGTTCAGAATAAGTATGTGATACGGTTCGCTCAGTGCCTGGCATTTTCAGTGAGTCAGGCGTGTTCGAAGGACGAGGGGAATTGCCTCAGGGCTAGGTTAGAAGTATATTTTGTTCTGCTGGAATATATATTTTTTGACATCAGAAACATGGGATCACAAAATGCTAATATAATATACTCAAACCAAGTAAGTTTTAGTCTGATGTTTAATACAGGGCAAAAGTCACCACTGTGTCTTTTGTTTTAAAGCGGATGGCCTGAGTTATTTGTGGAATGGATAACATTTGGTGTTTTCTTTCATTTCCTTTTCCATGATATATAATACATATGTATTACATATTACATTCTTATTCCCCTTTTCACAATTTCCCATAGTATTACGTAGTCTATATAAATACTTTGTAATGGCTGCATAATATTAATACTTCTTTAAATGAGTTTATCACAGTAACCATTCTTTTATTGTTGACTGCTAGTTGAATTGGTTTTAGTTAATGGTCATCATGGTGCTAATTCCATAATAACTAGTAATAAATTCTACTTCTGGAGATAGTAATGATTTCTTTTGAATAGCCATATTAGAGAGTCTTTTCTCCTTCCGAAGGCAGAAGACCCTGCGATTGCCCCCAGGAGTTCTAGCAGTCAGAGTTGCATTCCTTTCCTTGGAAGAATAGATGACCCCGCTAAATGTGGGAATGTACATTGGCCTTTTCTGTGCCCTGGAGGCTGCAGTAGTCTGTGTGCCTGTGGAGACCGGCAGGAGATCAGAGGTGCTGGGATGTAGGAAGAGGAAACCAGCCAGGACTGGTAACGTGAGTACAAAACACTTTGAAACTGGTTATTTCTTTGGGTTCTTAAAAGCCACAGGTGGCACATAGGTTATCCTATTTTATAGACCCAGAAACAGAGGCTCTGAGAGGGAAAGTGACTTGCCTAAAATCATAGAGCCCATTACTGTGAGAATCTGCTATTCTCCATTAGAATCATGTATGGGCTTCCTAGTCTCTCCCACGCACTCACCCTTTCTTGGCCCCTGGCCCCCGGATTCTCTGCTTCAGGCTCTTGTGATCACTTGTAGCTGCTCTCTGAAAGCTGCAGCACTCTGTGGGTTCTGGCCACTGTCTCCTGTACTTTGATCCCTACCACTGCATCTGCTACTGGGCCTCATTAGAGACTTCTGTTCCTTTTTAAAAAAAATCTGTTGATTGCATCCTGGCTTTACTTTTTTTTCTTATTTGTGTGGTCAGCTCCCTCCACATCCTCAAGCCTTCTTTTGGCTTTTTTTCTTCCTCCCTGACACTTTTCCCATCACCACCATTAATCTAAATATTTTGCTTCTCTGCTTCTCTGACTTGGTTCCAGTTTCCAACTATACCTGAATCCTCAGTTACCCACCCATCAGATTTTCTCCAGTTCCCTTCATTAACCTTCCCAAGCCTTTATCCCTCTTCCTGTCTTCTACTGCCCCCCCCTTATCCCTTTCCTCCCCCACCAGAAACTGACCTTGTCTCCTATGTTCACAGGGGAACTTCCACAGAATTCTACTCCCTGCAACTCAGTGAGGGCCCCATCCTTTCTTCCTTCTTCCTGGTCCCAGGAAGTGGTGTTTCTCCTGTCCAGACTGAATCCCTTCACCTCTGCCTTTACCTCATCCTCTCCTTCTGTCTTTGGGATCTGGCTTCCTTAGGCATCTCTCTTTTTCTATTGTATCCTTCAAGGTCTTTTTCTCTACTGGTCTCTCCTAACTACAAAAAATGCTTTTTTCCTAACTAAAAATTGCTTCCTTGATTCCACATCCCCCCTGTAGATATTGTCTGACTTCTTCCCGGCTCTTTTCATCTAAGCTTCTTACAGAAATTCCTTCACACTTACTGTTGTTTGGTTCCTCTCTCCACTGCACCACTGAAACTGCACTTTCTGAAGTCACCAGACTTTCTAATTGCAGATCCAATGGACATTTTCAGTATTTATCTTCCTGGAGCCCCCAGCTATATCTGACATCACTGCTCCTTGAAATCCCTCCCTCCTTGGCTTCCTTGAAGCCATTCTCTCTTCCTGATGCCAGAAATAGCCTTTTGAATGTAGGTGTGGTGGAGGCAGATGGTTAGATCTACCCTGTCTCCTGCCTGGAGCTCTCTCTTGCTCCCCTGGAGGTGCTAACTCCAAGGTCCTAGGGTGTCTGCCCCAGGCTGGGCTCTATCTGCCTCATACAGAGTCAGTCAGATTCCAGTGGTTTTCTCTTTATTGCTGATCTGGGCCAGGCTCACAGAGGCCTGCGCCAGGTGTTGACAGTGTCTGTCCCTGGAGGAGGGAAGAGCAGAGGTGAAAAGGTCAGCTACGGGGCTTAGATGGAGGGCTAGGCTGGACGTCGCGTGGGCTAGGGAGCCCTGGGGGACTAGGGTGAGAGCTGGGATGGCCAGAAAGCCCCTGCTTCTGGAGGGCCTCGAAGTCAGAGTTGTTGATGACAGCTTCTCGGAGGGTAGGCATCTCTGCAAAAGGCACATAGTCTGCTCCTGGGGGTATAAGTCAGTGCAAGTGTGGGGTGCAGGAAGGAGGGGCAAAGTAGTCCTGGGTGGGATGGCAGAGGGCAGGAGTGCCTTCAGCTTGGCTGATTACAGACCCTTGAGTGGGCCCTGATCCTAGGTGTCTCTCACCATGTGGCCTCCCTCCTCGCCGCCGGGTCTCCTCAGTCTCAAAGAACGTCTCGTGTTCCTCCCAGCGCCGGTCACAGGCCGCACAGAGGAAATTAGACTCAAAGCAGCTGCAGCAACAGCCTAAGGCAAGGGGGCAGCCAGGGAGAGTGCAGGGAACTGGGGCTTCCCCAGGGGCTGCCCACATCCTCACATCCTCCTCACCAATTGCATGCCCAAGTCTCTCCTCCCCACTCCCCACCTGCATCCCCAAACCACGTGCAGTCTATCCCAACCCATGCCCACCCCTGCACTCCGCTCACTGGAGAAGATACCTTTGACCCTGCAGGAATGGGACCCAGTAGCTGTGTGGTCTTCATGGCTGTGTTTGCAGCGACATTGGGCCCTCCAAGCCTTGGGGTCAAAAGTGGCCCGTCTCTTGAGCCAGAACTCACCCACCTCCTCTGGGCGTGACGGGATGAAGCAGAACATGAGGCAGTGGCACTGGCCCACGTTGCAGGGCACGGATATGTCTGTGAAGAGGGTCAGACCAGCAGCTGACAGGGCCTGGCCTTCCCATGTCAACCTCTCCCCAAACCAACACACACACACATGCTCTCACACAGCTCAACACAGGACGGAAGACAGTTACCCTCCACACCTGAGATGATCTGGTGCTCTCTCAGCAAGTGTCCACAAAAGCACTTGGACTCATCCCCAATCCGGAAACAGTCCCATAGATAATGGGGGCAGCGCCAGCCAATATAGAGACCTGGGTATGGAGGGATTGAGTACTAAGGGAAAGTAACAGGGAAAAATAGCCTAAGCTCCTCCCAAATTGTTCTTCTCTCTCCCCCGATGTGTCTGTGTCACCACCCACACATCCTCCTCCCTGCCCCTTTAGACTTTTTTTCAAGGTTTGCTCATCAGCCCACGAGTGTCTTCAGAGCCCGTCCCACCCGAGGATCCACTCCACCTGTGTCGGCCTGTGACTGCAGACAGCCTTCATTTCTGAGCAGGAAGATTATTATAAGTGAGCTTCTGTGTGATGATGCCCATGTATCTAGCTGTGTTCTCTGTGACTGTGGGATTCTCATCTCCTCCCCTCCCAACGCTAGAGCCCACCTTTGCTTGGTTTCCTTGAAGTGTCTAAGGCGAGAGAAAAGGAAGATGACGGGCCAGGTGCAGAGCAGGTGGTGGGGATTGGCTCCTAAGGAGCGTGGTGTTGAAAGGACCTGAAGAGGAGGAGGTGGGGCCGCCCAGTGCCACAAGGAGGCGGGCTTCCCTCACTTCTGCAGGCTGGCACCATCACATGTCCCTTCCACATTCCTGAGGTTACTGAACGAACGCCCTTTGTGAACTTGAGAAGGGCTGCCTCTGGTTCTCCAAGGTTCAGGAGAAAACAGGAGGCCAGAAGTCATGAGTGGGGTGAAGAGCAGAAACAGAGGCTTGTGAGGCTAAAAAAGGAGGCGTGGGAAGGAAGAGGAGCCCAGGATGTATCCCTGAGCATCCCTCAGAGGCTGCTGCCCTTGAGATGAGAAACTGTCTGGCTTCACAGTTAGTCTTACCACCAGGCAAGGGTGGTGCTGAGTAAATGTGGGAGGAGACCCAGAGCATTTCCCACTCAGGTTTTTCTCATCCTCTGTGAGAGCTGAGAGTATCCCAACTTAAAGTCAACAATCCTGGGTTCCCCCACCCCCCCACCCCCCAGGAGTGGGGCCTTCAGCTCTAGGACTCTTAATCCTATTCAAAAGCTCCAGTGAACTGTCATCTCCATCACAAAGTTGTCCCTGACTTCCCCTTCTGTCTAGGAGTCCCTCCTCCTGCTTTCCATGACTCTTGTCAGAGTACAGTGCATTCTGGTGGACCTGTTCACTTGTATTCTCCTTCAACTGTGAGTTCCTCTAAGGAAGCGTCAGTCTTTTCATCACTGTCTTGTATCCTCACACAGGACCTGGTATGAAATAGATGCTCAGAGAACATAGAAGCTTGACTGGATAAGTGATTGAGCAAATACCCTTAGTAGGGAAGAGAGACCCAGTATTCCAGGTAAAGCCCTGAAGTTCCATAAGGAGAATGAAAAAGAGCCAAGTGTCCTGTGGTCTTTGACTCTGGCCAGGACCACAATCCACAATTCTGTGCCTGTCACACTCGGTTTTCCTGTCTTACCCATGGTCTCTTAGGATCTGAAGCCTGTCCAGATGTGGCTTTTGGCTTTGATGCTTCTGACTTATACCGCCAGCCCGTGGTATTCGTGCCCCATCACACCAGGGAAGCTTGGTTGAAAGGGAGCAGGGTTTAGACTGAGTCACAATGGGGTTGGCTGGAGGCCGGGATTCCACTGGAGGAATTCTGAGCTGTGTTTAGAATAGCAGGATCCAGTGCATGAACAGGTGAGGTGCAGAGTTGAACAAGGGTTAGTGCCCCATAGATCAAGGCCTGAGGGCCTGGGAGAGTCAAGTTTAAGCACTGTTGTTGGAGTCATTGCTCATCTTTCAGATGAAGAAGACTGACGTTTGAGCTGGAGGAATGGCAATTATACCTCAGACTCTATAATCCCCTTAAAGTGGGACAATGCAAAGTGGGCTGTGCATTCTAGAGTAGGGCCTTCTACTCTGCCTTGATTCCACACCCTCTTCCTGTTATAAATGGACAAGGACTGGGGAGGAGACATTATCGGGGATGCCATTTTTACTGCACAACACATTCATTTCCATGATCACACAGTCTCATCTGCATGATAATATCTCTTATGGTTAGAACATAGCTCTATTCCCATCATTAGGGAAAGTGAAGTATAAACCCCCTTCCTCCAAAGGCAGTGATACCTATTGAATTCAGTCTAGAAATCCAAGAATCCTCATAACAGGTCAGGTGGCCTTCTTACCCAAAACCTATAGATGTGAAGTTCAGTGATGCACATGCTCACACACAGAATGGTGTGTGTTCACATGGTTCATATGCACACCCTTTATATACAGACATAGAGAAGCCCGGCATGCCGTTAACAGGACCATCTACAATACTACTTCTGGGCTGAGACTTGGAGTTGATGGGACTCAGAGCTTTGGTGAGGAGACTCAGAGCTTTGGATTTCCAGGTGATCATGGGTCTGGCATGCAGGGATCACAGCCTTGTCTTAAAAAATTTTTTAGCTGTACCATGTGGCGGGATCCTTGTTCCCCCATATCAGTGTCAGGGGTCAAACCTGCGCCCCCTGCAGTGGAAGTGCAGAGTCTTAACCACTGGACTGCCAGGGAAGTCCCCATTACAGCCTTTTAATACATTTCCACCAAGGGGGACTAAGGCCTTTTGCCTTGTTAGAACAACAAGTCACCTGGAAACTGTCCAGGGTCCTGGGCCATCTCTGCTTTAGGATCTGTTTGGTGCAGGCTACTTGAGCCCTAGTTCAGCCACCTGTTCCTGCCTGGCTTTATATGAATATCCTCACTTTTTGTCTGCATCCACCCTCATCTACTTTGGCCTACCCATCCCAGATTCCAGGAAGGTGGCATTGCCATTTTCCACAAGGGCTCTCCACTGAAGGAGCAGGTTCCTAGATCCCCTTGGATAGAGGGATGGCCATGGGCCTGTCACAGGCCCCTGAAAGGCTGCCTGGGCTCACCTGTTTGGATGGCATTCAGGGCTGCATCCTTCTCCCACTGGAAAAGATAATTCACTTGTGAACCAAACTTCTCTCTGTGCATCGCCTTAGCCACGTCCACCAGGTCTGCCTGCTTAGCAGGGACCACTGGGTGGATGGTGTAACCTGGGGAGGGAAAGGCTGAGTAACTAAGGGGAAGTGAGGAGGCCCCAAACCTAAGAGAAGGGGCCAGGTCACAGAGTAACCAATCTCCTCCTCCTGAGGCAGGTCAAAGACGGTGCTGAGAAAGGGGGAATGGGCAGGAGCAATTACGGCTGACTCCTTTCTTCCCCTTCTTCTTGCCCAGCTGGTGTACAGGCTGAGCTGCATAAGTGTTACTGGTAGTGGCATCCATCTCTCTCTCGCCCTCTTCTTCCTCTTCCTTCACTTTTGTAAATGTGTCCAGGTGGACCTGGGATGGAGAGCCTTCGAATTCAGAGGTGTGGATGGGCCTCTTTACCCATGAACCCTCGCTGGAGGAAGACTCAGAGAAATCTTCCTTTGGATTATCAGAGGGATACCCAGGGGCATGGCTTAGTGACGAAGTCTGAAAAGCAAGTGGTTGATCTAGGACCTTGGGGGTGTGGGTTTCCAACTGGGTCTCAGGGGTAAGGGTCTCCAAAGGGACCTCAGAGGCAGAGTGTTCTAAAGGGGCGGTGGAGGTGGAAGGCTCTACAGGGGTTTCAGAGGTGTGGATGTCTAAAGGGGTCTGGGAAGTGGAGGGCAACACAGGAGATTCAGAGGCAAGGGACTCTAACAGGGCTTCAGAGAGGGTGGGCTCTAAGGGGCTTTCAGGGATGGGGGGCTCCTGTGTGTCCTCAGGAGAGGGGTCCTTCGAAGAAAGGCTCTCTTCTGCATCCAGGGCGGTATGAGGCTCTTCTGTGATCTTGTCTGCTTCCATCTAGTGGTAGAACAGAGTACATGTTTCATTAGATCGGGATTAGAGGGTCTCCGAGTCAGGACTCGCAGGGGGCTATGGAATTTATATAAGTTTTTAGTGCACCTGAGATATCACTCAGGGGAATCCAGATGAGCTCTGGGCCAGGGCTTGGTGCTTGGAGTTTCACCCATGTGCCTAGACCCAAACTGCATACTGAAAGTCTGAAGCAGTCAGAATCCCATCAGTAGATGGTAACAGAGAAGGGATCCTGAACATAGCATCTTGACTAGTCCAAGAGCAGGGTTCTGGGTGTAATTTAGGACCATAGAAGTCAGGCTGTGAAGTTCTAGAGACTGGGAAGACCAAGGTAAAGTGGGGGTTTGCTCCCGAGAGTGCAGAAGGATGCAATGACCACAGTCTAGTCTTGTCTAAGGACCCCTTCCTGCCCTTGGTAATGTCGTTCATGTTCAGTGCTTCAGCTACTTCCAGTTGTATGTTGATGACCCCTAAATCCTTATTTCCAGCTCAGACCCTGAACTTCACAGTCATACCCCAACTGTCTGCTAGACATTGCTAAGTCGATGTCCCACAGGTCATCAAAATTGAACTCTGGGAATTATCGTGGTCTTCTCCTTTCCTCTCAGCCCACATCTTAGAATGGGCACCAAAGACTACATTTCCTATCTTCTAAATATGGCATGAGTTTGAGTAAACTCCGGGAGTTGGTGATAGACAGGGAGGCCTGGCGTGCTGTGATTCATGGGGTTGCAAAGAGTCGGACATGACTGAGCGACTGAACTGAACTGAGCTGAAATATCCCACAAGTCCATTCTCTCCTCTCCTCTCCCTCCAATTTGGTTCAAATTCTCATTATTTTCTACCTGGATTATGTAATACCCTTGCTCCTCTGCTGCCTTCCCTAGCATATTAATCCACTCGTCCATTCTTTTGTTGGTTTATGTAACTTATGCTTTTAAAGAGCCTAATGTTAACACTTTTACTCAGGCACTGGACTCAGCTGAAAGAATCTGGAAAGGAGACCAGTTAAGCAAAATGACAATACAAATGAGTTGGTGTTGTGCTGGGGTAAGCCCAGGATGCTGTGGGGACTGGGCTGTGCCTAATTTATCTTGGAAGGATGTCCAAAAGGGGTCATGCATGCTAAGTCACTTCAGTCACGTCTGACTCTGTGTGACCCTACAGACTGCCAGGCTCCTCTGTCTATGGGGTTCTTCAGACAAGAATACTGCAGTGGGTTGCCACGCCCTCCTCCAGGGGATCTCCCCAACCCAGGGATCGAACCCACGTCTCCTACGTCTACCTGTATCAGCAAGTGGGTTCTTTACCACCAGTGCCACCTGGGAAGCCCAGGTCCAAAGGGTGGCAGTCCTCCTTAATGACCCAGGTGAGACCTTTCTGAAATGGCATTCCTTTGCCTAAAAACAATCCAGTGACTCAGCCTAAGGGTTAGGTCCAAATTTCTTGGCCCTGACATTCAAGGCCTGTCATCATTTGCAGCACTGCCTAAGGTAATTCCAGCCTTACCTTCTCCTGCTCTCTACTTTGGTCTATGCTCCCCAAATACTACATTTATCATTTCTTAAACTCATTAAGGCCTTTCCAAAGAGGAAGTTTGTGTCAGAAAGTAGGGGGAGAAGTAGGATGATGGAGAGGAAGATAGCCAGACATTCAGCAAGAGGAGAAAGGGGGCCTGAGGGTGAAGAACCACAGGATGGGAGGAGACGAAAGGGGAAAAGGGGGAGGAGGGAACTGAGTGGAGAAAAGTGGGGGAGGGAGAGGATAAAGATGAAAATCAGAGGATGGGAGGGGGCTGGAGTGAGGTGGGAAGGGACAGAAAGGTATAAGGAGGGAGTGGGATGTGGATTTGGAGGAGGGGCCATTTGAGAGACTACATACCTCTAGGCTTTGTCTTACAAGTCCTTAAGGTTAGGATCTTGTCTGAAGCGGGACGGGGAAGTGTTTGCCCCGGGGGAGAGAAGGCTTGGTTGTGGACTAGCCCTGGCAGCAGGCACTGTTTGCTGAGGCCTTGCCTGCAAGTTACAGCTTGGGGAAGGGACTTGGACACCTGCAGAAATTCGTGAAGGAGTTCTGGTCGGGAGGAAGGGGGGGAGGGGAAGGGACGAGGCGGTCCAGGGCCGAATAAGGGAGAGGCTTGATTGAAGCCTCTGGAACCCTGGCCGGGAGTGGAGGATCCGTCACCAGGGCAACCGGAACGTTTAGTAGTCTCCGTGGCAACAGCAGTCTCGTCACCCCTTCGGTGAGTGAGGTCTCCTAAGGGGGCTCCGTTGATCCGGAGGAGACAAACCTAGAGGGTTCACTTCTGCTAAGGGGGTTTTGCTGGATCTCTGTGAGTGGTTTTTTGCGGGATCTTTGTGAGACTCTGAGAGTCTCTGGGTACGGTCTGCGGATATCTGTGGGGACGTCCGTGGGTGTCTGGGTTTGTGAAGGTCTCTGTAGGGTTCCTATGAGATGTCAGTGAGGCTGTGAGGACTTTATGGGGGTGTCTGGACTCGGTGGTTGGGGTGAGAAAGGCGGGGACTCGGGCAGCGGGGACTGGGCGGAGTCTGTCCTCGAGCCCCGCGGGGCCAGGTAGGAGACCAATAGAATAGGGCCGGGGGCGGGCTTTAGTGAGAAGGACCAATTGACCTAATCGGAGGGCGGAGCGTCGTGCAACGTCAGGCCGAGGCCGCAGCCGCGGGGCCTGGTTATCGCCTGTCCAGCGCAGCCCGGAGTCGCCCAGGCCTGAACTCCTACCCAGTCCCCGGCCTGGCCCCAGCTGGCTCGACTCCGGCCCTAGGCTCGCGAGGACACCGGAGGCCATCCCCGGGGGGTGGGAGCGGAGCCGCGGGTCAGCTCAGCGAGCGCCCGCGCTGGCCTGTCCGGCCCCGCCCCCGCCCCGGGCCATGGCTCAGCCCTTGTCCCGGCCCCTTGTCCTATCCCGTTCTGGGCCTTGGCCCCCGACCCCGCCCTCGCCCCGCTTCCCAAATCGGTTCCAGTTCCCGCCTGGGTCCCAGCGAATGCCCAGATCCGGGTCCCAGCTCAGGCGCCCCCTCCAGCCCCTGACCTGGGCCCCATCCCAGTCCCAGCCCTTGTTTCACCTCTTTCCTCAAATCCCAGCCCGGCCCCTGTGCCAACCCCATTCTCAAAATTTGCTTAAGCCCGGGGCCCAACGCCTGCCCTTGTTCCAGTCCCCACCACAGCCCCTCCGTCCATCACACCCCGTACCCTTGCATAAGTCCCTGTGTCCGGCCCAGCCCAACTCTTTCTCCCCGTCTGTGCCCTCATCTCTGTGTTTACCCGAGTCTCTCCCACCGCCCACCCCTCTCTCTCATACCCCGCCCCTCTACCAGCCTCGACTCAGGTCTGGGCTCCAGCTGCCGTCAGCCTTACTGCTGCTGTTGCTGTTGTCTGTCCTTGGCCCGGGGGCTGGTGAGTGCAGAGCAGGAGAGAATGAGGCAGGGATGGGGTTCTGGCAGGGAGGGGTGGGCTGGAGGGATTCAGGAGAGGTGGGATGTTGGCAACTAGATGGCTGGGGAAGAAGCAGAGAGAAATAGGGAGGAGGAGAGAAGTCTTACATAACTGAGAGGAATTGACAGGTCAGAAGAGTGGTAGCTGTGGGCTTGAGGCTCAGCAGGTGGCTGACAGAGACTGCAAGGCTTTCTTTTTGGGGGTCTATCTGGACTCCACTGTGACTCTTTTCCAAGGAAGTCTGGAGTGCTTTGTACCTGCTTGTGAAGTTTGATGGGGGTGAGAGTCCCCCACCAGAGAACTTCTAGTCAAGTGTGGGAAGATCTGGCCTGAACCTTTGACGTACTGGGCATACATTGAAGCAGGGTTAAGAAAGCAGTTTTGAAAATAACATGTAGCAAACAGATGGCCATGGGGTTAGTTGCCATTATAATGAGTTTTCTTCTTGTAGTGAAATTTGTTCCAAATAAGCTTGATTTGCTAAGGAATTATTTCTGACACTTTCAGAGCAGGGTTGAAACTTGGAGACTATTTTACAGATGGGGAAACTGAGGCACAGCAAGGGATCAGTTGGCCCGAGGTCATACATGTTATCAGCGACAGTATGGGGCTAGAAAAAAGGCTTCCTGATTCCTACCCTACCCTAGTGTTGTTGTTGTTTTTTACTGTAATCTATGCCCAATAGGAAAACAGATCCTAGTGCAGAAAGGCTGCAAGCACAACGTGTCCTCTCCCATCTGCCCACAAGGGGGCTTCATCCACAAACTTCCCTCATTTGCCTGTAGTCTGCCCAGGGCCACCATCTAGCGAGGAGGTGACTGGGACAGGAGAGGGAGATAACCAACTTCCTAATGGGTGGAAGGCGGGTGGAGGAAGGGGTCCCGGCCGTAGGACATGTTCCATAAAGATGGCCCCATAATAAAGACTCTTCGTGGCCCCAGCCCCCAGCCGTCTCTGGTGGGTAGCACTCTAGAGGGGATGCGGAGGTGCCTGAGGAAGTCTTTGGCAAAAGCAGCTAGCAGAGCAGCTGGAGGTAGCGGGCTGCATTCAGAGTATAATCTCGAGGAGACGGATGCACGCCAAAGGTCACTGCGCCCGCAGAGGTGCGAGCTCTGCGTGGATTCTCACGGGTGTCTGGGTGCTAATGTGTCTGTATGTGTACCTGAAGGGTCTGTGGGAATGCTGGGCGTGTGTAGTGTATACATGCTTGTGTGCTGGTAAGCACAGGCATACGTTTGTTGTGTGGTGTGAGCCTGTGTGTCCTGGTGTCTGTGTTACTGTGTGAGGAGGAGGTATGTGTTGTGGCCCATGCATGTTCCTCTTCAGCTCTTCTTGCTCCTCCTGCAGACAGATCACCGAAGGGTCACCCCCAAGTGGATAGCTCCTTGGTTGGAGGCGGTGTTGGGTGCCTCCCACAATATATATAAGTGATCCATCTGCCCCCAGCCAGGTTCCTTGAAGGGCTCAGGGCTGGTAGCTGCTCAGTGTTGATTACTGCTGCTGGCAGAGCGGGCACTCAGCCGAGACAGAAGCCAGGTCAGTTTTTCAGTTTGGGTGAGGGGGAGTCCACTTTGTTGAGCCCAGTTCATAGTTTCATGGGTTTCAAGAACCCCAGGTTCTTTGTTCGTGAGCCCATTAGGAGAGGAAGGTGATTATCAGTCACAGAGCTATAGAAAGTTGAAAGATGTGGATTAAAACATGATTGCCCAGAAGCAGTTCAAGTGCTTCGGGAGGATGGTAATGGGGCTGAAAAAGAGCCCTGACTGGGCTGCACTGCAGGCAGGGCCACCCTGAGTACAGTTAGTGGTCACTGGCCTGCAGGGGTGCTCTGTGACCTGGTGCGGGGAGGGTCTCCCTGAGGAGAGAGCGGCCTGTGATGGCACTCAGTCTCAGCACACCCTCGGATCTTTTCCCTGGACTTGTCTGACTGCAGTGGCATAACCCAGGCACGCCTTGCCATTACAGGAAATGACCTTTTTGTTCTACTGAGTGCTGTCACTAGCAGGGCCAGCCTGAGCCCAGGGATGTGTGTCTGTGTGTGTTTCAGATGGTGATGGAAAATCACCCTAGCCTCATTTGGAAGCGCTGGTGCATCCAGGACAGGTTCATCTGAGCTTGGTGAGGGCCTTCCTCCTGCTTCCTCTGGGTCACAGAGCTGTAGGCCTAGTGACACCCCAAACCAAAGCCTGCAGTCAACAGGGCTCTAGGTGCTTTCTCAAACATCTGCCCTCAGAACTTCTCATTTCCTCCTAGCATCCCCAGCTTCTTTTTACTCCCCTTTCCCACCAGCCTTCTCTATGACCTCTGTAGGCCCTAGCCACTTGTGGGTGGCTTAACTAGTTCCCAGTTTTGCAGGCCATGCCATTGTTCCTTTAACCACAGGGCTCATTGTGCATATCTGTCCATTATTTCCTAAAGGTCACTAGCTACTTTCACCATCAACTCTCTGAGAACCTGCCCTGGGGGCGCCTGGCCACCATTTTTTCTAACATTGGCAATGGCCCATCCAATGACCCATCCCTGGTACCAGCCTGCAGAAGGAGAAGGAGGAGCCCTTTCCTAATTCCAGCAGGGGGCGCTCAGTACTCCGCTTTCCTGTAATAATAGTATCCAGGCTGTTCAACTCTTGGCTTTCTGCCTCACCATTGTCACTGCCAGGGCTCCTAGGAAACCTTTCTTCCCCATCACTTGTTTCATTTCCCTTCATCCCTTTTGAATACATCACTGCTGCTCTATGGGCCTCTTCGGTTCCTGGGCAGTGCTCAGCTTGCAAGGTGGCAGGTCTTTCTTGCTGACAGGTGAGAGCGATTATGTGATCTGAACTGCACAGACTAGCCTTGGGTGTGACTGCGACTTTTGAAGATCACAGGCCCATCTAGGGCCAGTGACCTCCACCTACAGAGGACGGCTCTCTGCAGGGTGACTTGAGGTTGTTGAAATTCAGTAGGGCCAACCTTGACCTGTGCTCCCTCCATCAGCAGCCTCCCTTTCCCGATGCTTCTTTCTCTGTTATTTCACATGCCTCATTTTGGAGTTATATCTCCCATCTCCAGAGGGAGAGACCGTCAGCATAGGCAAGGCCCATGGGTATTTCCTCCATGGCTAAAAAATCCACTTCAGGGTCTCCCTTACCCACTGCCCTTACTCTTGCTCTGAAGCTGCTAAAGTCCCCGACCTTCTCATCTGTCCTGAGGGTATCCTTCTGTGCTTCACTGGGGCTGGTGTTCAGTCTGCAGAGCCATTGGATTCCCCAGAACTTTTTGTCCTTTGGGGCCCTTTTTGTCCTTTTGGACCCTTTTCTATCCAGCTGAACCACTGGGTTCTTTTCATTGTTATAGCAGCCCTGGTGCCTGTGTGTTTGCCTGGCAGTTGCTTATACCAGACTGTCCTGCTCACCTGTTGCACTCTGCTTCTAACGGCCACGATCAGGTATCTAGGCATTTCAGCTATGAGCACCACATCCTCCCCACCTCCCGCCCCTGGCTTCGCTGGATATGAATATTCCCAAGCAGTTTGAGCTTCCATTGTCTCACCACTTGACTGCCTCCCTGGGCCTCCCGCCGGAAAGCCCCCCAGCCCTGCCTTCTGAATCCCGGAGGCCCTGTGGTCCTCTCCTTTACTCCCCTGCAGGGGCTCTTGTGTGGCCTGCCAGCTCCTGTCCTTGCCTCTGCCACCCAAGCAGGCCCCTTGCAGCCTCACCACACTTTCCCCTCCCCACTGCCACGCTGAGCCAGTGTACAGACAGCTCTTGTGAAGC